ATCGTTACCCTATCCACTACAGAAGCTGAGTACGTTACAGTGACTGAAGCCAGTAAAGAGATGATATGGCTTCAGGGTTTGTTAACAGAGCTGGGATTCAAACATGAGAAGAATGTTTTGCACAGTGATAGCCAGAGTGCGATACACTTGGCGAAGAATTCAGCATTTCATTCTAGAATGAAGCATATTGCGCTTCGGTATCACTTCATCAGATCCCTGTTGAAAGATGACGTGTTAAAACTGGAAAAGATTCCAAGGAGTAAGAATCCGGCAGATATGTTAACAAAGACGGCGACTATTCAGAAACTGGAGTTGTGCGCAACTTCAGTTGGCCTTCATGCATAAGATGATGAGGGCGGAGCCACACAGGAGAGGAGCTTGATGAGATAGCCTGTTGATGTCGGTTTGGTCTCCAAGTGGGAAATTGTTAGGTTGGGGGTGGATACCAACCTCCGGCGGCGGAGGAGCTCCGACGAGCTCCAGGATGTCGCAGGCGGCGGAGGAGCTCCGACGAGCTCCAGGATGTCGCAGGCGAAGCTGGAGTCTGCGTTCGAACCCCCTTCGAGCTCTGCGTTCGAATCCCCCACGTTTGCTCTGCGTTCGAACTCCTTCCGACATTTGCGTTTGGCGATGGCGACCTTTGCGTTCGAGCGCTCTCACCTTTGCGTCCGTGGGCCGCTGGCGACAGGCTGTCGCCAGCTCATCAACTCCGCCTATAAAACCTGTCGCCAGCTCATCAACTCCGCCTATAAAACCCCTCCAGCCTAGGGTTTGCTGCTGCCGAACCTCACCCCTTCTCCGATTTTTCTTCCCTGGCGACGGCGGAAAACCCCCAAATCACAGCTGCGATTTTGATTAAATCCCAGCATTCAACAGTGGTTGAGGGGATTTAAGAAGAGAGAGAGAGAGAGAGAACTAAAAGGGGTTTTATATTGTGCGGTTATTCATTTATTCTCAAGTGAGAATTGAAATGGTTCATACCCTTTGATTATTAACACTGTAGCTACAGTGTTTATTTGAGAAATCTCAGTTTTAGGATTTGCTCCTAAATTGTAATTTCTTGTTTGATTAATAAGAAATTATCTGTGTGGCTCCCGAGGACGTAGGCAGTTGCCGAACCTCGTTAAATCTTGATGTACTTTTTCTATACTGCGTTTCTGTTGCATTAGGGGTTTCGGCGTTTAATTCCTAACATTATATGTACTCAGTTTAGCTAGCATTGCTGGATGATGATGATGATGATAATATGGCATTTGGTGACCTAAGCAATTGAGGATCAAATAAAGTTCAAATGGAAATACCGTGACAATACAAATATAAGAACTTACGTTACAATTCCAAAACTTCATGGTTTAATTAAGAGGTAACAGTGTTTTCCCTGAACTAACTATATTTTCCTCCCACTGGATGTTATCTGAATTTTTGATCAATTTCTAGGCCAGTAAATAATTATCATGCGAAATATCAGCAGACAGGAAGTATAGAAAGAATCAGATGTATGACATCTTATCCTTACATTACGGCAAAAAAAAATCATGTAACATGACAAAAAAGAACAATGAAGTGTGGAGAGCTTGGAATCAAAAAGAGTGTGAGAGAGAACAAACAAAGTCTTCACTTTTCCCATATACACACAAATGCAAACATCAACACAAAATGCTCAGCCACTCTTTTTCCCCCTCCCTTGGCTCATTTATTGATCCTACATCCCCTCTTTCCATGGTATTACTCTCTTCCATTCAAAGGAAAAACTTGCTCAACCACATCTTTTAAGAGATGGGGACAACTTCTGTCTCTCGTAACTTCATTCCCTGTATTTTCAAATATGACCAAGCCTTTAAGCAAACTTTTCCTCTTCTAGCTTTTTGGTAACTTATAGGACTACTACTTTACTTATGAGGAGTAGATGTGCATGCTTTAACAAATTGGGGCCACAAACTTGAGGTACATGGTATCATATCAATTTATGCAACCTACACATAGTACTCAAGGGGCCGTGGATTTCCACATTTTAATGGAGGAATTAGCATCTCATCCCAATTTATGTTATGTACCAAAGAGGGAATTGATTGAAACTATCATGAGCACCAACTCAATCATTTAACTAAATATTTATATATTCTACTGCAGTGATAAAGTAGATAAAAAAGGAGTGGAAAAAAATGAAATAAGATCATTATGAAAGAGTAAGGGGGAAAAGAAGGAAATTTAAGTTATTAGTAATCAAAACAAACATCTTCAACATCTATTTTTTGAGTGCCAGTTCTCTGCCTATGTCTGGAATGAGGTAATGGAGTGGCTGAACTTTACAAGGAGATCTTGCAATTGAGATCATGTTATAGGTTGGTATAGTGGCAACCTTAAAGGTAAAGGTTTTTCGAAGAAGATCAAGCGAATGGCCTTGTCAGTGACTGTATATATGATTTGGAGAGAGAGAGAGAGAGGAACTTGCGTATTTTTCAAAACAGAGCTTCAACCCAGGCTTCTCTCTTCAAAGCAGTGAAAATGTCCATTTTTACTAAGGCATTGAATGATAGTATACCTGCACATTTGAAAGATAAACCGGAAAAGTCGTAGTTTGAGAAGGAATAGTTAGAAACAGTACAATGTAGTTGTATAGAGATTTTTCCAGGTTTGTAGTGCTGGAAAACATGATGTATGACTATATTGTAGATTTGGTGATGAATAAAATTCATTTCATTGACAAAAAAACATCTTCCATTCACACATCAATAATGTCTTGAATTTGTTAAGTATGAATATCTAGTGTTAAACGTTTACAAATACTGCTCCATCAATAGTAACATGTGATAGTATCAAATCATTTTATGCAAATATTAACATGTACTTCGATCTCATGGAAGATAAAGCCCCTGCACATGTTAATGGTGGCAATGGCATCCCATCTCAACTATGGGAAGTACCAAAGAGGCAATTGATTGATAGTAATATTAAGAAGAGATAAAGATCTACATCATAATACCTAAAAACATTGATGAAGTCCAAGTGACTCATTAAAAAGAGTACTAAAAAATTCAGGTTATTGCATTCTGTAAGCTGGAAAATTAAGTTTCGTCCATTTCTTATACTCTGAATTTCTCAAACTTGTCATCTATCACTCTGATAACATAAATCACTCCATTAAAAATAAATAAATGGTTTTTCTATAGAGTGCCCATGAGCACTCTATAAGAGCATCTCCAACAGCTTCCCTAAAATTTTCTCTAAAATGGAGAAACAAAAGTCATATTCTTCAAATTATTTTTGCTCCAACTCCAACAGCTTTCCCATTTTAAAAAATCATATTTATTACAATAATAAAGCTCTCCCCAAAAATTTGGAGAATGCTGCAGATTTGGGGAAGGCTCCCTATTTTTTCTCCTCCTTCCCTATTTTGGGGAATGGGATGGGGAATCTGTTGGACCAAAAAAAAGCTCTATATTCCCCAAAATTGAGTATTTCAAGAAGATGGGGAAGCTGTTGGAGATGCTCTAAGAGAGGAGAGAGATAGAGAAAAATGAATAGCTCATGGCCCCCCTGATTTGCATTAGTTTCTGTGCATAATTCATTTATTTCTATCTCTCGCCTCTCTTATAGAGTGCCCATGGGCACTCTATAGAAAAACCGAAAAATAAAAATCTAAGCTCCTTGTGTTTATCGCTAATCCATGATTTGACCAAATTTTAACAATAAACAACATTGACCAAATTACTTTATCATGAAAGTTGGTAACAGGTTGTAAAGAAAAGAAGGCATAGAAAGAACCATTACCATTTGACTTCTACTAATATTATTTATTAATTTCAATAAGTAACCACATATACAAAGTAAAAGTTACTCGTGCCTAATTGATATGCAATAGCTTCCACAAGATTTAAGAATTGATGGCATTCAAACCAAGCAAGCAAGCCCTCTCATCTGGTCTCCTCATAACCCAACAACTCCACTAAATCAAACCAATTGAATCACAAATTAAAGTCATTCGTTATAAAATAGCACAAAACGGAAAGAGGGCTTCTTTTTTAAGTTTTGGCCCTCATGTTTTCAGATTAGTCCTCGACAGCTTTGAAATTGCTATTCAAGTACACAATTCATATAAGTAACACCATTAACTTAACTTTTGTGGGTGATTCACTAATCTAACCAAAGTTGAGAAATTGAGCAGAAAATTTAACAAATGGTCCAATATGGAGTAGCTTATATAAGTTCAAAGACTAAGAGCCAGTTTGGTACTGCCCCTTTAGGCTGTTTTTGCTTATTTATTTTAAGAACCGGTCGTTAATGATGCATGTGTGGTCGATAATGATCTTCGCTAAAACTTACTTTGCATTATTGCTGCTCTTTTTAAGGAGAAATTCTTATGTGCTCATGAAGCACCTAAGTGCCTATACTCCTCCAATAAACTAGAGGGGGACATTGTATCACTAGAGGGGAGCATGTGATGTCACATTCTCCTCTCTAATGCCACATGTTATTTTCTTATTGGAGGGATGTAGTCATCTTGCCTACTACATGAGTAGGCAAGAATTTCTCCTTTTTAAGATGGTAGTTTTAGAAGCAACCTATAGATGCTTTTATAAGCATCTTTATCTTTTTGTAATTTGTGTACCGTATATATCCTTTGGTTTTTGACGTTATTATTTTATGTTTTAAAATTAGATTATCTATTCTGGTAGTTATAGTTATATCTACTTTTTTGTTATTTTCACTTATTACAATAATTTTAAACAAGGTTTTACCGAACACCTTACAAATTTTAGAATCAACTTACAGTCAACAAATGATATTTTTTAGATTTTTTAGCATCTAACTTAACATGAGCTCCACAAATACCAAACTGGGTCTCCAATCTCGATAGCACTTTTAACGGTTTGGCTCCACTTACTGGGGACCAATTTAAAAACGATTAAAAGATGCAACGGGCCAATATCTCAAAAAAAAAACTCCAATCAAAATTTTTTTTTTAAAGATACAGACAGTTTCTTGCAATTTAAACAAACATGAGGGCCAATCAGCTAAATCGCAGAAGAAATAAAACGCCAGAAGCTCACCTCCCCAAAGCTCAGAAGCCTCTCCCTCTGGAGGCTCATCATCTCATACCGAATGTCCCGCTCAAAGCGATCCAGAGTCTCCTCCTCCTCCTCCTCCTCCCCCGCGCCGCCGCCGCCGCCGACGCCATTGCCGCCGACAAATCCCGCCGCCCAGGAGGAGCTCCTCCTCCCGGCCTCCCCGACCACCTCGCCCACCTCTCGCCTCTCCTCTCCCCTCCTCCTCTTCTCAGTCTCCCGCTCCTGGCGCAGCCTCCTCTCCTCCACCTCCCCCTACCCAACCTCTACGCCCTCCTCTCGGCCCCGACCCGGACCCGATCTCCCTCTCCTCCTTCACCGGTGACCGGCAAGTGGGCCCGCTCCGCGCCCTCCCTCCCCAGCCCCCACTCACCCGACCCCTCCTTCGTCGCCCGCCGCCTCCCCGTCCAGTCCGCATCCGCCGCCGCAAACTGGTCCTCGTCTCGCCACCGCCGCGGCCTCTCCCCGCCTCCCCAGCCCTCGTCTTCGACCCCTCGGCTCCCGCTGGCACCTGGGCCCGAGATCCCTCCCCCCGCCGCTGGTGCGCCGTCGGATCCCGCCGCAGGAGGCGGTCTACGTGGCGTCCGGCGTCGGGTCCGAGTACAGCTCCGAGCTCGCGAGGTCGGCCGAGAAGTGGGACCTGAAACGGGCCGGGTCCGGGTGGGAGCCTCTGAGCCCGTTGAGAGACGGCAGGTTCAGCCGGGAGGCCGATCGAGATGGTGTTTTCCAACGAAAGCTGTGGCATGGTGAATCGAGGGGCGAGGGCGAAGGAGGGAATAACTTACGACGTCGGATCCGACAGATGGGCCGAGATGCCTGCTGGCTCTTGTTGGCTGGGTCGGTCCGCGGCGGTCGTCGAAGACGGCGGCCGATTTTTTTTTCGCCGCCGGAGGGGAGGAGGGTTGTCGCGCTGCACGTGTTGCCCAGGATGAGGAGGGGGTGAATCTTGACCGTTGGATTTGTGAAATTTTGTGATTATTATCATCTTATTATTATTATTAATTAATATGGATAGAAGTGGGTTGGGAAAAGGACAAAGATGCTCTTTTGGTTGATATTTTTTTTTTTAAAACCTTTTTGTTTTTAATAGAATAAAGTTTGATGAGTTAAGCGAATTGGGGCCATTGGTTATGATGTACTTCCTTCTTCTTCTTCTTTTTTTATTGCTGTTGATTTGAAGGGGAAAAGGTGTAATTTGACTACAGCCTCTACAGGGTTGAGTTTGATGAGATGGCGAATATTTGTCGCATGTGAAGAAATCTAGAGGCTTTTGGATAGGTCGATCTTGCCCACCTAAATCTTATCTTGGTAAAAATTAAATTTTGAAATTAATGGGCCATGTGATTATTTGCTCACGAAGCTTCGTGAAGAAGTTTTAATTTCGGAAGTAAGGGTGCATTCCGTCCGGATACGGATCGGATGTGATGCTTATCATATCCATATTTATTTACCCATCTCGGATACGAACACAAATACTAATATACATCGGTAAGAAAAATTCATAACCATATCCACTAAAAAATCGGATGCGGTTACAGATATACATAAGGATATGCATGCGGATACAAAAACGGATATGAGAAAATTAGATAGTATTGAGAAAAACATAGTTCATGCAATACAAAATAGTTCGTTAATATGTTCATTATAATTGAAAAGTTAAGATTAGACATCTTGGTCATCAAAATTAACCACAAATTCATAATCTAAGAATCGAAACTATCGTAAGAGTATGACTAATATGTATTCGGATATTTCTGATACGGATACGGATATTTCACTATAAAACCATATCTGTAACCATATCAAATCGGTTATAGATTTGAGTAACCACATCCGTATCCTAACGGATATGGTTACGAATATTTGGTCGGATACGGATACGGTTTAGCACCCCTAGTCAGAAGCTAAACTCGAGCCTTTAGATGTCTCTGATGATAACAACAAACGATACAGAATTATCAGAAGCTAAACTTTAATGACATATGTTTGTTATAAATATATAAAGATAAATTTCAGGCTTGAGATATTTTTTTTCCTTTTCCCCCTTAATAGGAGACTTTTATGCAAAACTATAATTCACTTTTTTACCTTCTCTACTTTACACCTTGTTGACACATATTTATTGTCGAATGGATGTATCTTCTTGTTCAATCAACATCATATAGATGGGTTACTCAAAATGTGCTGGAAACCTTTCTTTGGGATGATAAAGGTCAACTAATATGGATGTAATTTTTGACATATTTTCATAACATATATACAAAACCCTATATAACTCATTGTCTTTTGTTTGTCTTGTTGTAGGATGGATATATAGATGAAAATTTCCTCAAAAGTACAAATGATAGCTGCAGTCATCTATTAGCTCATGCCATTTTCTTTTCAATTTTATACAATCTAAAAGCAAGCTAAAATTAGAGAAAATAGTTCATAAATCAATTACAAAATGTCATGCTTCGATTAAATAAACAACATGTGTACATTATAGTAGAGAATTTAACGTATCGTTTTTTTTCTTCATGTATTATCCCGGACTCAATTTTTTTTATTTTTAAAAATCCTGTTAACTATAGTGCACACTTCCATATATATTCTAATTTGAAATTTTTCTTGCCTTTGTGGATGATGATATTAATTAAAATCGACAATCTTGTTGATGATGGCAAAAAATATATATGTGAATACCTCTTTAATTATTATATCATAGTAACATCCTTGCAAACTCCGCAAACTTTGCTACATTATGGAATGGGTCTCATGTGGTTAAACTTTTGTGTAGGTCGGCACATGTTGATTATTTTTGCTTATTTATGTCACATACTTTAGAACTTTAGGAGATAAAATAGGGTTATCTGCTAATGGAGAAGCAACAGCACATGCTAAGAATTAGGGACATTATTAGATAATATATAGGTCTTCTAATTAATTGTAGATAGATATCCATCAAAATATGAGCTTTGATATATTTTAAATTTTATTATTTTTGGGTAAATAAGCGATTTAATTATCAATATCAATGTTGGCTTATGAACTCTTGCCCTCTAATTCTGAGCATTTCCCTCTTCGAGACAAGAAACTCATAGAATTATGGAAGAGTAAAAACACAAAGTAGCTAGCGTTCAATAACTAATTAAGAAGTGGAGAGATCATGATCACAATCAAATTTGTTAATCATGATCATAAACATTAATGAGATATTGAGAGTACTGAAGGTTGTTAGTTACTCTTCTGTCATGTACTTCTTACGTATTAATCATGTATTTAATTGTTGTAGATGGCTGTGGTTAGATACTGGTACTATACATGCATGTACCATTTTTTGCTAAAACTATTACACGCTCAAGATATAATGTTCGAGTTGTTTTGTACGAGAGATTTTCTTTTTTTAAAAGGAGTTGGAAAAAGGACAAAAGTGCTCTTTTCTTTATGCTAATTAACATTAAGCCAATAGTCAGTGGATTTCTATGTAATGAGAAGGTGACGTTAATTAATTTGTTAATGAGTAGCATATGCTAGCTGGCTGTGACCTCTCATATTCATTGGCTACTGTAACACACCTAAATAATGTAGGAATCTACATCATGAGTTATAATATCAACTTTAAAATTATAGCGTTGATGTGAAGTTGATAGCTAACTATAAAATTTTATTCTAGAGATTTAGAACAGGATTGTATAACCAATTTTCTTCATTATTTTCTTGATTTTTAACGTCATTGTGAATTAATCATATGTATACATCAATGAAATTGGGGAAAAGGACAAAGATGCTCTTTTGGTTCATTTATTTTAAAGCATAAGTTAGGCCAATGATATCAGTGAGCTGACTTTGTGTATTTCATTTTAGTTCATTTAATAGCGAAATATGTAATTTAATGGATAATGCCACAGGTGATTTGATATTTATATAGAGCTCTGCTGCCAGATTGATAGTCAGTTGTAAAATTTTATACTTCTTGCAGATTATGAACTTTTAAAATGTATCATGATGATGAGAAATGTTGTAAAGCTATCCAAAGATTGAAAGGGATAAGAACGAGTAGAATCAAATTAAGTATTCCAATTTCTTAATTGGATAATATTCTTGATTTACTTAGATAAATGTATGATCATGTGCAAATCAACAAAAATAATAATTGGTATAAAAAAACTAGAATCCAAAATGGAATTAATTAGCCACTTAATTACTTAAAGTGTACTCTATGAAATGTTCTATTAAAAAGATCATAGAGAGAATGAAATATTACTTAAACAATATTCCAATTTCTCCTTAGCATGACTTTCATACTTCAAGGCTTAATAATTTCATTTTAATTAAACATGTAATACTGTACTCGGGTACATTTTAATTGGATTTTTTTAATCCTAGCCACAATCAATGGAGGTTATTCCAATAAAATCTACACAAGACGGCTACAAAAAAAAATTATTATGACCGCTGAAGACCATCCTCGCAAACTTTGCAAGTTTCTTGACAGTCACACTTGCATTGATCTTGTTTGCTAAAAGGCAGAATTGGTAATAGTCAAGCTTTTGTGCAGGCCGGCATCTTTTAATTAATAGTTCCTTCTTTACTTGCATACCTTAATTTAGACTTTTTGCATGTCCTACCTAAAACGAAACGTATAAGAATTATATGGTGACGTAATTAATAAAGTTAAATTTTGGATCAGTTCAATTAAGCCAAAAAAATTGATTTGGCGATAAACGAATTGTTGTACTTCTACATGTAGCGTGTAGCTTTAATCTCTATCTTTATATGCGTGCGGGTGTTACTCTTTCTTGTAGGACAAATTTTCAAACCCTTTTGGTTTTTTATTTGTAAAAAACGATCTATTTCAGTTTTATTTGCAAAAACCGACATGGTTTCAGCCTCAGCGCTGAAACCAGGTCGGTTTTTGAAAAAAAGTTTCCGAAACTTCACGGGAGTTGAACTCCCGTGAAGTTTAGCAGCTTTTAATTAAGCTGCTAAACTTCACGGGAGTTCAACTCCCGTGAAGTTTCACAGTTCAAATTTTTTTTTTAACTGTGAAACTTCACGGGAGTTGAACTCCCATGAAGTTTAGCAGCTTAATTAAAAGCTGCTAAACTTCACGGGAGTTCAACTCCCGTGAAGTTTCGGAAATTTTTTTTCAAAAACCGACCTGGTTTCAGCGCTGAGGCTGAAACCAGGTCGGTTTTTACAAATATTTTGAAAATGGGTCGTTTTTTACAAATAAAAAATCAAAAAGGCTGGTTTTGAAAATTTGTCCCTTTCTTGTAATTGTATAATTTTATCAGAAACGAAAGTAACTCTAGTGCAACAGTGGATAGAAGTAAATTGCCGAACTATGCACAAAAAAAAATTCATGCATTTTGTGATTGCTTTTGTTTTCTCTCACTCGTAGAATATTTAACTTCTAACAGGAATTAATGTAATATCCAATAATTTGATATAGGTCGTTTGACCTCAAAAAAAGAGAAATTACGAAATGTTAAATTCAATAAGTACTCTCAAAAGACTAAATTAAGTGGTATGTACTTTATGTTAATTAATCACACTCAGCGCAATCAAATAGGGAAACGCGTACGTTGCATGGCTAATAAAACCGCACTGTGCATGAGTCCGGATTAACAACGGCCGTCGGATCATTCCCTTCTTCTCAATTTAATTTAAGGAAGTTATTGTTATATATATATGAAGGAAGTTAATTTGGAAAAGGACAAAAATGATGTCTTAATTCGTTTTATTACTATTATTATTATTATTAATATAAAGTTACCACAGGCCAATCAATTAATGATGTGAGCGTATGCAAATTGAAGAACAGAGCTGCATATTACTATTAGGAGCACATCACTTAACCCATTTTCTATTTTAAACTGCATAAAAAAAATTCAAATTAAGATTATTTACAAGGCCCCTGAAACCCTGATGTTTCTTTCTCGAATTAAAATAATTGAGGGATTATCTGCAATGTTTTTTTCTCTTTGTCTTTCTATCTCTCTCTTCTTTTTTTTTTCCCAATAAGTTTGTTGGGTCCATATATATTTTCTCTAATTAATGTCCCTCAAAAGTTTGTGGTTGTATATATACATATTTTCTCTCCTTAATTAGATTTATGAAAGAGAGTGGTTGACCTGTTACATTGGAGTTTATATTTGGTTATACGTGTTGAGATGATGAGTAGTCTTTGAGGTTAAGCTTCCATCAATCTGTCCCTCAAATTTTTTTTTTTTTCCCCTTCTTGTTTGGCTTTATCCTTTTGGTATTTCTTCGTACTAAGGTTCCTAGCTTGCCTTTTTTTTTTCTTATCAGGGACCAGCTCATTTCCTTTTAAGAAGAGAATTTTAAGTTGAGATGTGCTTGAGCTAATCTAGTAATTATCTATTTTTCATATTGATGTTGTCTACTATTTGTGTTGATTTTGTTTGTTGGTAAAATAATACACATAGTGTTGATTTTTTTTTCATATTGATTTTTTATTTCATTTTATTTATTTAGTGAAGACATAAATGGACCCAACAAAAAAAAAAAAAAACACTTGCCCTACGTAGAATTGCAACAGGACAAACTTTCATTAATGGGATTAGCTAAGCCTAACTGTCCTTTTTAGTGTTGAATGGAAAAAAAAAAAAAAGATGGGATTCTCATTCTCCTACCATCTCTTGGGGCCCAATAAAGGCGACAAAGGAGCGGGTGTGCTTTTTTAGCACTTTGATGAAAAGGCACACAAACAGAACTTTAGCGATGGCTTTTGTCTGGGTTCTTTTAATTTTTGAAGAAATGTTGGGTTGGATGTAAGGGAGTTGCTTGCTAGCTGGGCCTTTTAGGCGATTGAGGAAGGAGGACAACCAGGATCGCAGTACAATAATAAATCCTTTTTTCCCCCATTTGGCCATCCGATCAGATTGAAGTGCTTGATTGACATTGTAATATCAGATGTTGTTCTTCACTCGATCGAATAATTTTAAGAAATGACTTTTAAACAATTATATCTAGCACTTTTAAAATCAAAGTTGTTTCGTTTAAAATAACCGTACGGTTCGGATATCCGGATCATCATTTTAAGAAAAAAATATGAATAAAAATATAATGCGACCATACCGGCATCCCATTCTCTAATATCCGAACAGTATCCGTTTCTGTTTAGTGCGGATATGATCTTGACTTTTTCCGACCGACGCATATCCGTAACCGTATCCGTTTTTTAAAAACGGATACAAATATGATAAGTGTTATATCCGAACCATATCTGGACAGAATGCACCCCTACTCACTAGCCTTAATTAACAAGAGAGGCCAAAATTATCCAAAAACATAAATCTATTTTTTCTCGTATGAAAAGAGCAAAGAGTGATGAAAGTTATAAAGGAACAAAACATAAACCAAGTCATGACATAAATAAAAAAATTTAAGTCATGACATAAATAAAAAAAATTAAGCATGAGATAAAAAGAGAGAGAAAGCAGTCTTTTCTCATTAACATTAGGATTAAAACTTGATCATACTCAACTGAGAACCAACATGATTCTCACTACAAACAAACCGCTTTATTTAGGCATATTATTCTTAATGTCACAAATGGCCATCACACCAGACAGATGAAAATAAGGAAGCCATGCTACAACTGAAACACAGTAGATACATTCCCAAGTATAATGAACATATATAATTCCATATCAAGCGATCAAAGATTCAAACTGAAGCTTTGATTTAGTTCTCGGAGCTGCAAGAGGTTTGACTGCTTGAGAAGCCTTCATCTTGTTGGCGCTTCATCTCGTATGCCCATTCCAGACCACTGCAGTAATGGAGGGGTGGATTGAACCTGTGATCGAAAATGTCCGGAGGCAGGAAAGCACCATTTTCTATTAGAAATTTGACAGCTTTTTTGTTTCGCTCCTTGGCTGCACTATGAAGAGGAGTCCCTGAACAAATAACAAGGATTAGTGCAGGCATAAATCATAAAAGCCTTCAGTGTATTATTTCATATTAAACACAACTTTTCTAAAGGTCTGAAATTAAATTCCTGCTCACGCGTTACAGCAATCAACAACTAAGAACCCACAATTTAAGTTTCAAATTCATAAAAATAAGGCACAGAAAGAACTCACAATAGGAAAAAGTATACAGTGCACTACTCTACAACATAGACTAAATGGTGCATAGACTAAACGGTGAACCAAAGGGATATCAACCTTTGGATCACTGCACTGGGGGTGACCTATGGTTGATATCTCTTTGGGGCATATTAATGCCATGGATGGAATACAAGGACAACAACTAAAATTCACATATATAAGTACACAGAACAAATAAATGAATACAAGGGTTTACATGGTTCTTAAAATGCTCTTTAAAACTTGATCAATAAGTTCAAACAAGCTTACAGCCACAAGCGCCTTTAGTCCTGGAATCTATGTTGGCACCACGTTCAAGCAGTTCATCCATAACTTTGATGTGTCCACCTTGAGCAGCAAGGTGTAGAGGGGTCTCCCCCTGAGATTTGGGTCCCCATGCAGGCGTGTTGACATCCATGCCTTCATCCAATAGTCGTCTTACCTGTGAGAAAACGAAACATATAAAATTATGACCTGTAGAGGAAAAACCAATAAAAAACATGCTACCTTCTACCAATATATGTCACTGCGTTATATGTCAATGTGTTTTAAATGTAAAATAAAAAATAAAATAAAAAAGGGTGCCAAAAGATATGCAAGAACTGAAGCAACTAAAGTAGGCTCTTAGAGATTTAAGGGTTCTCATCAAGGAGAAAAACCCTGCAACAGGACATTTTCATTGGTTCAGTAAATAAAGTTAGCAAACAAATTCTCTAGTGATATCTTCGTTTGTAATAATCGTTGCTCATTTGGATTATTCCCATTCTAATATGCTGTTCATGTTGTGCACTAAAAGGACGACACAATATCCAGCAAGGAAGATATTTCCCTCACCATTTCAGCATATAAGAAATCGTGGCAGTTTCTTTCAAAAAAATTTCCAAAGTACATAGATAAAAACTTGCCTATATACTCATATGGACAAGCAGCCAGCTTTTAAACACATCAACAATCATAAAATGAACTAATAAGAAAGGAAGCAATACTTAGATGGATATGCTCACATACTGAAATTTCTCGCAAATGAGCTCTACATGGTAATGATGATTATAACAAACCATAGAAGGGTAAGCATACTTTCAACATGTAATTAATTCAATTTAAAACTTGATAGGTGAATTCCAAGCGATAGATCAATCAACAGCAAGTTTCCAAATGAAAAAGTAGGTACATGCAATAAACTTGCGCTTATGAATACAATTTGGATTTGAATACCTAGAGAAAAGATGGCAATAGATGACAAACTCGTTCCAGCTATTTTTACAGTTAAGCATTAGACAGCCTATGCAAAGCAAACATTTTTATCATGAAGACACCAATATCAGATACTTTTAATATGCATTTCAAAAAGGCTGATGCCAGTGACGGAGCGCAAGTCCAAGTTTTCGCCCATAGAAAAAGGATCCTCACAACTTTGAAGTTGTGGTGTAAAGCGAGGGACTTTAAGAGACTCCAAAAGGTACTCTTTCATGTTTGATTGGTGGAGTGATACAAATATATAACACGGCGATCAACTTCTTAGAAATTTATCCTCATGATACAATGTTTATCGAATCCACAAATACTTTTGATGACATCAAGTCTGGTGAGAAGGATGTTCAAGATTTTGTATACACGTCTAAAAATATTCGATATCATAATGTTGTCCGACTTGTCATCGACAACTTTTTTTGACTTGATGTGGTGGATAAAGCTTTAAATCCCAAACTTAGTTGCAATTTGATTTGCATACTGAGCATGTTTGACAAGCAAAAAAGTAACTGGAAAGTGGACCCAATACTTGAAAGTGGATCTAGTTTCTATTTTTCCTATTTGACAACTAGAAAATGATTAGAAAGTAAATGGAAATTAAAGAGATTGACATCACATTCCTATTTAATTTTCTAACAATTTCTGAGAAAGTTGATGGAAAGTGAATTGAGATGAGATAAACTGATATTGCATTGAGATGTGAGAAATTGATATTGCATCCCTCCCCGTATCTTAACCCTTTGCACCAACTATTTTACAAAAGTAATCAAACAATATGTAAAGCATGAGTGGCACACCAACTACCACACCTCAACTTTCCATTTCTCCAGTTTCATCCAAACAAGATTTACAAAGAGAATAATAAGAAAGTGGTTTCTTGAGAAAATGCTTTTTCTTCAGTTTCAATTTTCTATTTACCTTTCCATTTCAAACACCTTCTAACAGCGTGTTCTGCAACGGAGAACGAGGGGCTGTTTGATTGTTTTCCAGAAATTCTAGAAAACCCAACTTAGTAGTAAAATAAACTTTTTCCACAGTTTTCTGGGGCTTTCTTGGGAAACTTGTTCACCTTCGTTGGTTTGTCCTTAGGACATGAGTGGAAAATAATTTCCATTACAATCCATAGTTTGGATCAAACCAAAGAAAAATTAATAAACCAGTCAAACCACACTTTGGAAATCTACAATGGAATCATCATAATGACGTTACCACTCATAAAAAACAAAGGTTGACCCACAGTGGACTATTATTTTATTGGCCAATAGCAGATTTCCACCCCCAATTCCTATTAAATTGCTCAGGATTGGGTTTCTACAAAAATTGAAGTTCTCAGCACTTTATGGAAACCCTTCTCCTAAAAATGTTAACCAAACAAATCAATAGGAACCTTGTTTGCAAAAAAAATTCAAGGGGGGTGACGTCAGGTTATTCTAAGGGTTTTCTTACGTTTTCAAATGAACCAAACAGCATCTAAATGGAAAATAAAACGTGAGAGAAACAAATTTTCTCATGACTTTTATTTACAAATTTTACTTGAATTATGAAAAGTGAAAAGAGTGAAAAACGGATGTCGCATATGACTTGACATCCACTTTCTTTATGCATACTGTTTGGTTTCTATGCAATATGGATAGTGGAAAATGAAAGAAAAGGGAGGTATAACAAAATATGATTTCTCGCTCCTTTTAATTCATCTTCCATCTGCTTTTTCAAAGAATTTGAGAAAGTGCAGGGTTATAAAAGTCTAATGTGACACCACGCCCTTTCCATTTACTTTCCAAGCACTTCCTAATTGCCAAGCAGGAAAAAATAAGAAGTAAAATTGCGTTCAAACCTTTTCCCACTTTTCATTTACTTTCTAGATGCTAAACATGCACTATAGGATAATAGTTGAATAATATTCATTGAGCACAAGATTAAACTTCAACTTTTATGCTTTTTCATTTTTAAGTAGTTTCCTATAAGTGTAGAATTCCATTTGTATCAGATGCTATGCAGCTCATTGCACCGACCCTAAGGAAATTGAAACGCTGCAAAGTATTATGAGGTTGATGTTGGGCCATGGTATGGAGGTGAGTGACTATATCTATTCAGGTGTCGAATTGGACGCGAAAGAATATAGAACAACAGTTAGATTAATTTAGCACATCAAGGTTTCTAATGATATTAGCTTAGATTTCATCATTACAAAATCTATAAAACAACTATACGTGCAATCCGTGGTGTGCAACAATAGCCTAATAATTAAAATATATACGACCAAAAATAACACTGATATAATCTACCGCCCAAAGAAATCAAACTTGTCAACAAGAAAACCAACCTCCTTAAGGTCGCCCTTGCGAGCCGCAATATGGAGCAAGGTCCAGCCCCTATCATCCCTCTCTTTCCATCCCTGGTTAAACGATTGCCTCCTCGTCAGCTGCCGCCTCGGCCGCTCCTGTTGCTCGTCCTGAAAACCAAACCGCCAGATTTCCCGTTCCTGCAGCATACTTTACCGCCAATATCTCCCAAATTCAAGAAGTCAAATCTTCAGATAGATCTAAAACTCCCAAAATATGGCCGAAGGATTGAAACTGCCAGATTCGAGTTTACATAGTACTCAAGATTGCTATTTTAACTGGTAGAGGATTAGCGAGAGAGCGAATAGTTTCCCATGCCGTGAGGTGCGAAGGGATTGAGACCGGGGCCAAAAGCGCGAAGATTCTGATGGATCGAGATGGAGATGGCGACCGAAGGCGAAATGATCATAATTTTGGGGACTGAAACCCTAGATCGAGATGAAGAAGGAGAGATTGGTTGAGTAGAAGAGGGATTTAAAGGATTTGATTTCAGATGAAGGGATTATCTGAAGGGATGAACATCGAGGATTTGAGGAAACCCTAGACTGCAAGAAACCCTAGCTCTCTCGCTCGCTGGCTCGATTTGGGGATTCTGGGCGTTTCGAGAGAGAGAGCTCAGGGACCGCCGCCGATGAGATTTTTATATGCGGATTTATTCGGGTCGGGTCTCGTTCACATTTTAATCTTTATCTGATCCGGTTCAGGCGTTAGCGGGTCCGAGGACCCGTCAGGAGTTTAGACAAAGGGCTATTTGCATATATACCTCTTACACTACGAATATTTGCAAAACTACCCTCCTAAAATCAATATTTGCAACCTCCAAAATTCAATATTTGCAAAAAGACCCCTCGAATCATCAACTGTAATAGGCTAATGTGCAACTACAATGTAAAATTTATTAACAAAATTATAGAATTCTTGCTCACCAAGTTGATGATTTTCAATTTTAGGGGTATTTTCACTCGAAGTTGATGATTTTTGGGGTAGTTTTTTCAAATATTATGACTTAAAGAGTAATTTTGCAAATACTAATATTGTAAGGGCTATGTATGCGAATAACCCTTTCGATAATTGCTTTCTTGCCCCCCTTCTTCTAAACAGTTGAGTTGAGGAGAGGCCACTTCATACAGAAAACCTAGGAATTTATGAATATAATCAGATTCTTAACTGAAAAAGCGTTGTAATTTTTATTTTATTAACTTGCCAACTAAAAGATTCTTGTTACAGAGAGAATTGACTCATTTAATCTTGTTCTTTTTTAAAACATGTAGTTTGCTAATTCAGGAATTTGTTGTTCTTGGGGTACACTTGAATCTCATAAACATGCAGATTAAAGTCTCGATTATGATTTTTATTTGTAACTAGGAGTCCAGGACTTGTTAAAATGTTAACATCTCTAGGTAATAGGACTCTCAGGGCGAAGAAATGAAAATTCAGTAAAATAGAGGGTATTGTTGAGGATTGTGTTGATTAAGATGCTGAAGGAGAAAACTTATGCTGTAAATTAAGCTACCTAGTTACTAATATGTTTTAATTATACTGTTGAACAATTGGCAATATACAGCTGAGTAAATGAATATTATTACCCTCTAAAGCAATAGATTATTTAGTTGGGTGAGTCTATATATTTTGTGTGACTTCATAATGAATACGCGCAACTTTTTTTTATTACTCAGATGGGTAAATGTGATTTAAGAACAAATAAACATTGTTAACTAGCTTAGTTATTAACTTTTGCTGGTTATTGTTGTAAATATAAATACAACGAATATGGACATTACTAGAAGAAGTCTCTTCCTCTACTTGTGAATTTTAGTATTCTCTTCCACATCTATATAATGTAATCCATAGAAGACAAAATGTATGGAGGAATGAGGAAGATGAATAAAATGAGAATCACTTATCTCCCTATTTCTTCTCTCGTCTATTTACATTTACATTTAATGTTTGATTCTTACTGTTGATATATATGATGTATGTAGATCTGAAGGTAGTAGACATTGAAGTGGATCTTATCGAGGTGGTCAAGGTAAACTATTTGGTTTCTCTATATTTGGATTATATACATTTGTCAGACAATTTTAATTTATCTTGATTTTGCTTTAAACTCTTGTGAACCTATGTGGTTTTTATTCATATGTGTACATTTTAGAATTTGTCTGACCTAAAATACACCATGTTGCGATGAGTTTGAGATTTAGGGACCCAAATTCTTTTAAACTCTGGCATGAGCGATTGGGTCATCTTGGGCAAAATATGATTTGTCGGATTTCCTTAAATTAAATGGGGCATTCAAACCAAATCCGACCAACTGCATATCACAATTTTCCCCCTTTATCTAATACGTGGTGAAGAAGCGAAATATTTTCCATCTGCGTATTCTTTATTTGCAGTCCATGTTTCTATATCACCACCATAGCGTACCTCTATGGGACCTCGGTGAAGGTACATATATTATTTATGAAACTCTGTTAATAACCTATGGCCCATGTTAGGGGATCAATTTATAATTTGGTACGCTGACTATATTTTTATTGAAGATCAATTCTTGACATTAGGGGAGATTAGTGCCCAAAATACAAAATAATGTCAAGAAATTCTATTGGTGAAAAAGATATTCAATATTTATATCCACGAACTAGTCAAACTGAACCAGAAGTTCACATGATAATCTGCTAAGAAAAGAGTGACTTGTAGGCGTCAAAAAATGCTTACAGACATTCAAACACCACTCAAGACGATATAGAAGAATAATATACACGTCATCAAGCAACATATGGCGGCGCGGCAGGACATGGTGCCGCGGCTATGGCGCGGCAGACCAAGGTGCCGCGGCTAAGGCGCGGCAGACCAAGGTACCGCGGCTAAGGCGCGGCAGCCTATGGTGTCGCGGCTTAACCGCTGCAACCTATGGTGCCGCGGCAGTTAAAGCAGGATGCTACAGCAGTTATAATACAGTTATCTGATGATTATTTAAAGTCCACGTGGCGGAGTATCAGAAATAGAACGTGTGCTGATGTGGAAAAGCAGTTAAACCACGAAAAAGGTGGTTAAAGGTCGTGGGAGAACTGTTTCAAACACGTATGAACGTGGGTGTAACTGCCCCTTTAGCCGCGGCAGTGTCGACTGCCGCGCTCTTTGGCCGCGACAGTGTCGACTGTCGCGCCCTTTAGCCGCGACAGCATCAGCTGCCGCGCCTAAAGAGACAGTTATTGACCGGCTATTTCTTCAGTTATCGTCTAAGGAGGCTATAAATGCCCCCCTATGGTCATCATGGACAGGGGCTGAGCATTTCCAAAGCAGATTAGAGCAGAGAGCCTTGAGTTTTGGTGAATTAGAGCAAGAGAGAGAGTCTTTCTTCTTCACAAACATCCTCAAGAAGCTTCTAGCGAGTCCTAGAGATCTAAGCTCAGACTTGATCTTTGGAAGAGTGAACATCTTACATCGATAAGATATTCGCTTCAAATTCTTACTTCGATAAACGAAGGAAGAATCATTAAACCCCTCACGGTTCAATCAGAATCTGTGATTTGGTGGTCCACGAGTCAAAGCGCTCCCGGCACAGGCAAAGATCCCACGCAAGCAGCGATCCAAACAACGATCCTGCGTTTGTTTCTAAAAAGTTGTAATTTTCCTTTTGTTGTGTAAAAGAAGTCTTATAAAAAGACTATCTCTTTTGAATTTATTGTAATCGACCGAAGATATAATGAATTCCATAACAAAACCAACTTTTGACGCAAACAAGCTGGCGACCACAGTGGGAGCCAACGGTCTCGCTGCCGAGACCGTCGTGTCGCAGCCGATCAAGATTCCAGTTGAATCCATGGTCGAATACGAATTCGACCAAACCAAGTTTGAGGAATATCTCTCATCATCCTCTTCAAGATCTTCATTATCTCGCAAGTACAAGAGGATCTCACAATTGAGGAAGAGTTGCATGCCAAAGAAGGCACAAAATGAAGACTCTCGCTTGATTGTTGCTGAGAATTTCACTCGCAACACCTCTGCTCAAAATGGCTCTTATCTAATTGAAGAGTCATCGAATCAAAGCCCGACGACATTGACGAAAAGAGCTCGTCAGAGACAGCGTCAGCGTCTTGCTCGTCAAATAGCTAAGGCATTTGAACAAACCGACGGAGTTCGTTATTATGCGGACTTAGAGTCGAGGAAACAACAAGTGGTTCGTTCAACGCAACGACGAACTACTCACGTTTCTGCACAATTCACAACGGAGGAATGGACACTCATCAAAAGGGCTCGTTCGACCCTCCAAGAACGTATACAAAAACGTCGTGCAAACGTTGTTCATGCCCGTGCTCTCTTACAACAAAGACGAGAAAGGAGGAAGGAAACGGTGACCAAAGAATCACCAAAACTCCGCCAAGTTTGGATTCTGAAGTCTGGACTTATGCAAAATCAGCATTCGGAGCCCGTTAAGACTCCATACCCACAAGGGGGTGGTTCTAAACGTGCGACTCCCGACATAACCTTGGATCGCTTAAAGACAAAAATAAATTGTCCTGAGAATGCCAACAAGGTTTTATACTCCCAGAAGAAGACGCATTCACCAAATGATATCGTCATACCTGGGAGATCATACCAACAGACGATACGATTTTTTGGCAATCATACCGATGAATCGTATTATCAAGTTGAGGTTGTGAATAATTTTCGAAAGAGAGTTATTCGAGAGATAAACTCTCGTTGTTCCTGTGCACGACTCGTCAAAACAGCATTATCAGAATGTGACTGTTTCAAACGAGAAATCATCCCACGAAAAGTCTCTGCATTATCAAAGCCTAAGCTGAGACATTTCCGCAAAAGAAAATCAGCTGCCCAAAATGATGAATTCCCTGAAGTCACCATCAACGTAGCTGATAGAAGAAAGTCTAAACAGCATTCAAGTGACTCAAATCCCGACTTTTCCCCGAAAGGAAAAGTCAATCCAAGAATTGCTCAAAGGATGTCTCGACTCCAATTAGGAGCTATCAGACGCAGAGACTACAAGAGAATGCAAGAAGGAATGTCCTCGGAGGATGAATTCTCGGACACTTATTCTGCAATCGCTTCTGATGATACAATGTCTAGCACAGGACAAATCAGAGAAGTATTCACAATCACTGCTGATCAGTTCACTCAAATACTTCAGGAAGCTCTAGCCAAACAACGTGAAGAAATTAGAGCTGAAGTGAAGACAGAAATGAAGTTGGCTATCCAACAAATGAGAGAACTGTTAACTCAACAGCCTCAACCTCCTGAGTCCAATCAGCGACTTGAATCCAGCCACCACACTCGGAATGTTGTAGAGGACAGTGATCCAGAGGTGGATGAAGTCATTATGGCTGATACACCTCCCAATGACAATAACGCTGGGGGTGGTTTAACGGATCCTCCCAATAACGATATTGGGGGTGGTTCAATAGCACCTCTCACTGGGGGTGGTCCAATTATCTTTACTCGACATCATTCAGAAAGAAATGAAGACGATGACGGGAAAATGCAAAAACTTGAAGACAAAATCAATGCTTTGATGACGGCTCAAGAAGTTAAGAAGACGGGTATTCCATGTCCTTATCCGAGGGAATGGGATTCAATACCATACCCGACCAAATTCAATCTGATTAACTTCACACCGTTTGAAGGGAAGAGTTCGCCGATTCAACACTTGATTTATTTCAAGTCTCATTTGGGCATAATCTCTGGAAACGAGGCCTTAATGATCCGGTCATTCGTTGGCACCCTTCGTGGGCCCGCCTTCGATTGGTACCGACGGCTCAAGCCAGGGAGCATCAATTGCTGGGATGACATGGAAAGTTTGTTCCTCAGCAACTTCTTCGATGATGACACCGAAGTGTCAATCGGAACTCTTTTGGATGAGAAGCAAAAAGACGGAGAGTCAGTCGACAATTTTGTCAAGCGTTTCCGTAACATGGCGATGAATTGCAGAGATCCTATTACAGAGGAGTTCATCCTGCAAACATGCCACAATAACCTCTCCATCGATGTCCTGGAAGCTCTGGGGGTCGTGCCATCCACAACTTGGAAGGAGTTAAAATCTCGGGGTGAACAAGCTGAGCACTTTCTTAAAAGAAAGAAAGCTGAGAGAGGCCAACCAATGACATCTGCAATCATTGAGAATGCGACTCTCGATCCGAGGTTTCAAAAGGAATATTCTTTCGAAGATGATGAAGCTCCAGCCATCTTGGAATACCTCCTCGCTAATGACAAAATCGAGCTACCACCTATTAAAGATCAGGATGGTGCTAAAATGATTATGGATCCAAATTACTGTGCGTACCACAGAAGGGTTCTTCATCCCACTGAGATTTGCTTTGGACTCAAAAACAAGATCCAAGCCCTAATTGACTCCGGCGTCATAACGACGAAAGAAGTCGAGTAAAGACGACCATAAAACTCCATTGGGTACACGAGTATAAACTGTTTCCCCTCACTCCGAAAAGTATACGAGTATAAACTGCTCCTTAATACTCCAACAGGTATATGAGTCTAAACTATTTCCTTTCTTTCACGGGAAGTTCCTGAAGAATGCCATGCATGGTACTTTTAAGGATAACCCGATCATATAGCTAAACATAATGATAAACTCAGTTTCACAAGAAAAAGCTGGGGGTGGATGGTTCATGTAACGGAAGTTCCCGAAAGAATGCTATATGTAATTTTCTTAGGAATAACCCGATCATTACAAACAAAGTGTTAAACACTACATCCCCACGGTGATTTCCGAATATTCATTTGCTGAGATGAGATTCGATCACTTCGTTGGATCAATCTTCCCTCTCAAACCCTCCTTTGGTCAAACCTTTAAACAGTTAGGACCAAAGCCAAAATCCCCTCTCGATTCGTTCCATGAACGAGAGGTCCACAAATTGAACGATCAAACCTTTAAACAGTTAGGATCGTCTCAAATCCCCATCTTGGTCAAACCTTTAAACAGTTAGGACCAAAGCCAAAATCCCCTCTCGATTCGTTCCATGAACGAGAGGTCCACAAATTGAACGATCAAACCTTTAAACAGTTAGGATCGTCTCAAATTCCCATCTTGGTCAAACCTTTAAACAGTTAGGACCAAAGCCAAAATCCCCTCTCGATTCGTTCCATGAACGAGAGGTCCACAAATTGAACGATCAAACCTTTAAACAGTTAGGATCGTCTCAAAACTCCAACTTGGTCAAACCTTACTACAGTTAGGACCAAAACCAAAATCCCCTTTCGATTCCTTCCATGAACGAGAGGTCCAGCTTCGATTTGTGCACGCGGCTAAGGCGCGGCAGACCAAGGTGCCGCGGCTAAGGCGCGGCAGCCTATGGTGTCGCGGCTTAACCGCTGCAACCTATGGTGCCGCGGCAGTTAAAGCAGGATGCTACAGCAGTTATAATACAGTTATCTGATGATTATTTAAAGTCCACGTGGCGGAGTATCAGAAATAGAACGTGTGCTGATGTGGAAAAGCAGTTAAACCACGAAAAAGGTGGTTAAAGGTCGTGGGAGAACTGTTTCAAACACGTATGAACGTGGGTGTAACTGCCCCTTTAGCCGCGGCAGTGTCGACTGCCGCGCCCTTTGGCCGCGACATTGTCGACTGTCGCGCCCTTTAGCCGCGACAGCATCAGCTGCCGCGCCTAAAGAGACAGTTATTGACCGGCTATTTCTTCAGTTATCGTCTAAGGAGGCTATAAATACCCCCCTATGGTCATCATGGACAGGGGCTGAGCATTTCCAAAGCAGATTAGAGCAGAGAGCCTTGAGTTTTGGTGAATTAGAGCAAGAGAGATTAGAGCAGAGAGCCTTGAGTTTTGGTGAATTAGAGCAAGAGAGAGAGTCTTTCTTCTTCACAAACATCCTCAAGAAGCTTTTGGCCATTCCTAGAGATCTAAGCTCAGACTTGATCTTTGGAAGAGTGAACATCTTACATCGATAAGATATTCGCTTCAAATTCTTACTTCGATAAACGAAGGAAGAATCATTAAACCCCTCACGGTTCAATCAGAATCTGTGATTTGGTGGTCCACGAGTCAAAGCGCTCCCGGCACAGGCAAAGATCCCACGCAAGCAGCGATCCAAACAACGATCCTGCGTTTGTTTCTAAAAAGTTGTAATTTTTCTTTTGTTGTGTAAAAGAAGTCTTATAAAAAGGCTATTTCTTTTGAATTTGTTGTAATCGACCGAAGATATAATGAATTCCATAACAAAACCAACTTTTGACGCAAACATGACTAAGCCCCATATTCATGTTGAATATATCATTGATGATTTGGTATGCCAGAAGCATATTGTGCCAGAAGCATATAAAACATGTTAGTGTAAAAGATAAAAGTCCGCGGCAAACTAAATTATATATAGAAAGACAGTCACTCTCATAACCTCCGGAAGAGGCTTGTCCTGAAGACAAAATCTCTAATAAATTACACGTGCACTTGATAATCATAATATTGGAGATGCGGAACAGCCAAATCCAATTGTTAAGGGAAATGACGAGGATTTGGTTGACATAAAATAAGAATTAAAGTGGCCATGAATTTGTGAAAAAAGGAGAAATATATAATATCAATATAAAAGTTATCGACAGCATAGTTGCCTCTACAGTTGCTCTTACTATCTCCGAAAATAATCTGGATCTAGAATCTAAGTCGGTAGCAGAGTGCTTGAAGCACTCGGACTAGGTGAGATGGAAAGTGGCAATTGAGGCTAAGCTGAACTCGCTAAAGTATTTTGAACCTGTAGTCCATATATCCCTGTAGGATATAAACGGGTCTTCGTAAGAAAAATAAATGAGAATTGTAAGGTGGTGAGATATAAAGCTAAATTCATAGCTCAATGGGTTCACGCAGAGACCCGACATCGATTTAGATGTAAAATATTCTCCTATTAATGATTGTATTACATTCCGCAAGTTAATACCTATGGCAGAAACTATGAATTTATATATACAGTATATGTACGTCATGACCACATTTTTATATGAGTCATTAGACGTTAATATGTTTATATGAAAGTCCATGATGGACTTAAAATTCCTGAATTAAGAGAAAATGAGAATCGTAACATGTATAGCATTAAATTATAAAGGTCGTTATACGACTTGAAACAGTCGGGTAGAATGTGGTATAACCGACTTAGTGAGTTCCTCCTGAAGAGGAGATATGCAAATAATGATGTCTGTCCTTGTGTGTTTATAAAGAAATTCAAAAATGGCTTCTGTATTATATTAGTCTATATTAATGATATAAATGTTATTGGAACGCACAAGGAGCTTACAGAAGCTAGCTCATGCCTAAAGACGGAGTTTAAAATGAAATACTTGGGAAAAACCAAGTTTTGTCTCGGCCTGCAGATCGAGCATTTTCCCAGAATGAATTTTTTCTACACCAGTCAACCTATGTGAAAAAGGTTTTGAAAAGATTTTATATGGATAAATCTCATCCACTTAGCACACCAATGGTCGTCCGGTCCCTCGAAGTGGATAAAGACCCATTTAGACCCAAAGAAGATAATGAAGAAATGTTAGGGCCAGAAGTTCCCTATCTGAGCACCATTGGAGTACTTCTTTATCTCGCAAATTGTACCAGGCCTGATATTGCATTTGCGGTGAACTTGCTAGCAAGGTACAGTGCTTATCCTACAAGGAGGCAATGGAATGGCGTTAAACATATCCTTCGCTATCTTCAAGGTACAAAAGATCTTGGACTATTCTATAATAGAAACCAATATATGACATTGGTGGGCTATTAGAACGCTGGCTACATAACTGATCCCCATAACGTCAAATCTCAGACTGTTATGTTTTTCTCTGTGGTGGTACTGTCGTTTCTTAGAGGTCTGTTAAGCAGACCATGATGACTACTTCTTCTAACCACTCAGAGATTATCGCTTTATATAAGGCCTCACGAGAATGTGTATGATTAAGATCGTTGATACGACATATTTGTGGCTCGTGTGGTCTAGCGAAAGATGATATTACTGCCACTATCCTTTATGAGGACAATACAACTTGTGTTGCACAAATGAGCAGTGGATATGTAAAAGAAACCATGACAAAACATATTGTGCCAAAATTCTTTTATCCACATGAGCTCCAAAAGAATGGCGAAATCACCATCGAAAAAGTTCGCTCAAGTGATAATCTTGCAGATTTGTTAACTAAATCTTTGCCTACATCAACTTATGAGAAATATGTTCACAATATGTATAGACTTGGAAGACTATCTTCTTTAGGGGGAGCAAAATCTTAAAGAACAATCCTAAAGATTGGGCCCTGATGGTCTATTATCATATTTTGCTCCTTTTCACTAAGCTTTGTCCCACTCTGAAGATTGCGCCTTGAAGGACTATAGTTGTACTCTTTTTCCCTTTGCTAAGTTTTGTCCCACATGATTTTTTTAGCTAAAGGTTTTTAATGAGGCAACTAATACAACACAAGTTTGAATCCCGAAGATCTATAGTTGTACTCTTTTTTTCCTTTGCTAAGTTTTTGTCCTACATGGTTTTTCTTAGTGAAAGATTTTTAATGAGACAACTGATGTAACAGAAATAATATATGTATGTCATGTCCTCTTTTCCTCTACTAATTTTTTTCCCACTGGGTTTTTCTAGCGAGGTTTTTAACGAGGCATTGACATCATGTAGTAATGTCCAAGGAGGAGTGTTGTAAATATAAATACAATGAATATGGACATTACTAGAAGAAGTCTCTTCCCCTACTTGTGACTTTTAGTATTCTCTTCCCCATCTATATAATGTAATCCATGAAAGACAAAATGTATGGAGGAATGAGGAAGATAAATAAAATAAGAATCACTTATCTCCGTATTTCTTCTCTTGTCTATTTACATTTACATTTCATATTTGATTCTTACTGTTGATATATATGATGTATGTAGATATAACAACAAAATTACAACAATTATAAAATTCTCCATATTTCTGTGAAAACTCAAGCATATGGTAAAAGGTATAATTCTGCCTGCAAGCACATTCGCTACATGGTTAATTGTAGTTATTTTATTTTATTTTATTTGGAACAGAGGATATTAAGATGTTTTTTCCCCGACCCAATTTATCATTTAGCTTCTCTTTCTTATTGTGAATGCGTGAGACTAGAAATAATGACAGAACCGCGCTTTAGTATCGAGCAACACCACAATTTACAACTTGCGCAGCGTCTGAGACTCGTATTCGTTAAATAAACAATATATTAATATTTACTTCTACCCGTAATTGTTTATCATTTTGTACGCAGATATAATATTTGTTTGAGTAAAAAAAAAAGGAAAATGCTAGAGGCACACCCCTAACCATACTCTTTTCTCGCTACAGTTCACCGGGGTCAGTGGATTGTAGCGAGAGAGGACTCTGGTTGGGGGGTGTGGTTGAGGGTGTGACTGTAGTGACTCCAAAAAATAATAATAGTGATTTATAATGAAAAAGAAGTTCTAATCTAAAATATAAAATTTGACCATTATGATTTCAGAAAACAAAATCTCAAACCAGAAACAAACACAAGTTCGAGAAATTTCTTGGTAGATCAGAGGCAAAACCGTAGTTTGCTCTGACAATATCTCTGCCTCTTTGACGAACACGCACACAAAAAACTGCAAACACACAACAATATCCAGAGGCAAGAGAAGCGAGTTTTGACTTTCGTGCCTCCGAATCGAGTTCAAACAAGAGTCAATCTCGTTGAATACCAAATCCTCTGGAATTTTTATTTTTATTTTTCTGCTATTTATTTATTTATTTATTTATTTATTGAAATTAAAAAGCGGCCTGTTTCTTGTGTGCTGAGTCCGACAACGATGACGAATTCCTCTTCCTGTTCACACACCCCATCATTCAATTATTTTCTCCCCATCTTCACCTGAGACGCGCTTTACATAACGCGGAATTTTTTCCTTATTTCGATGCCCAAAACACCCTTACGCATCTCTCAAATTACAGCGGGTGTATTGTTCTAGAATGTTACGCAAGCCCGAGGTAATTTCTATGGTGGTCCAAATTTTCTTTCATTTTGCAGACTCCTCGCAAGTCGCAGATCGACACTTGATACCGTTGAAAATAGAAGATTTGTTGTTAGGCTAAGACCACTGTTGTGGGTATTTCTAGCGTCTAGGTTCAAATCTAAAGTTTAATCAAAACTATTATAGATTATAATATAACATTCTAAATTTTTATGCGCCCGGAAGTTAGTTTCATACCCGATGCTATCAATGTGTAATATGTTATATATATATATTTTTTATCAAGACTAGATTCAAACTATCTTTGGTTAGATTGGATCCAAGAACTTTGATTAGCGTCTACAGAGCTCAAAAATTTATCTATAATTAAAATCATTATCAAAAATGCAATCGTCACACAATACTAATTCTACTCGGTAATTTTTTAGAAAATGACACAAACATTTTTTTTTGAAGAGACGAAACAACATAACCAATTGCAGTAAATATAAAAATGGGTGATTTCGTAAATATAAAAACTTCGCAAAACCAATAATGCGCTCCTAACTAACAATAGGGTGATTTCGTAAATAAATGCCAACTCTACCGTCAATATCGGAACTCCAACTATCCCCCTTGTCCAGATTATTGTCACTCTTCTCCTCATCTTGCTTCTTGTTTCCCACCAAAAGAAAGTCGAACATCAAAATTAGCTAAAAAAAACCCAATTTTTAAAATTGGGGTTAGGGTTTACAGGCAATGATGATGGGTGGAGGCGGAGCTGGCGACGGCGA